GGGTCCCTGCTCTCTGCCCCACAGCACCCAGTCTCCTGTGCCTGCTAGGACTGCCCCAGCTCCAGAGCCTCACAAAGCCTCTTGCTGGTTTGGTTGTTGTTTTGAGACAGAGTCTCACTCATGAGCCAACATGTTCAGTCTTACTATACTTCAGTCATTTTGACAGAACTTAAGACCATCCCCAAAAGCTGGGCGGTGGTAGCACACAGCCAGGGATACATAGAGAAACCCTATCTCAAAATAAACAAACGAACAAAATAAAGGAAAGGAAAGCACTTCCCTGTTTTCTCCTTTTTATCCTCTGCACCGTACTGTAGAAACACTGAGCATCTCGTCTGCCGTGGACAGTGTTACACAGCCACCACCTCTGTCTACTTCTAGAATACTTCTACCACTCCAAAAGGAAACCTAAGCAGCCCTGCCACCCCGCCCTCCCTGACTCCCTCGCAACAGCTACTCTATCCCTGTTGCTGTGTATAGTGGGTATAGTTCCTGTAATGGAGTCTTACAGTATGTGGCCTGTTGGAGCTGGCGTCTTTCAAAGTTTATTACCCTGTATTGATATGTTACTGCTTTTCCGGACGAGTCCATTGGACAGTAATATCCTGAATAGATATCCCACGCTTTGCTGATCCATTCAACCACTGATGGACAAGAAGGCTGCCTCTGCCTTTGGTAAACGCTTCTGCCATTAAAACCGATTTACGCAAGTCTTGTCAGAACCCCTGGGGGTGGAATGGTGTCGTTGCTGGGCCAGCCATGTCGTGATTGTTTAGTATGCTGGGGCATTGTGACGCTAGAGCCAGGCTTTCCCCTTCTTGTGTGGTGTGTGGGTGGCAAGCAGTGACCTCTACAGCTGCTCTGTCAAGCCCCACTTCTTCCTAACCCTACAGCAACCTCCCAAAGATGGTTGGACACCAGGTCATTCAGGGCTGGGCCAAGGGAAAAAACGAAACACCAGGAGCCTGGGAACAGACATCCCATTTCTCACAGTGACAACACCAAGTACTTTTTTTTCTGAGGAGCTGCCTGCCTCCTGGGACTCTCCCATTCCACAAGCCATCTGACTACTTTGCCTCTGGAATGAGTTTCTTGAGTGGGTGTTTCGGGCCTAGGAGGACCACAGCCAGTTGAGCACAGTGTCCCCTTCATTTTGAAGCAAGAGTAACTAACTATGGGTATGCTGGCAGGGGCTGTCTACAGTATGGGGGGACTGAAGCCTGTGGTGGCATGCTAACCCAGCAAGCCCAGAAATAATGACCTGGCTAGAATTGTCCATTTGTACAGGGAGCCCCACAGTGTTCAGGTCCTCGGAGACCCCTCACTCTCCAACAACCTGTAGGTCAAAGACAGAAAGCACATCCATGCATGTAGCATAAGGGTACCTGTCAGGTTGAAACAAGCTGAGAATGCCCAAGGTCTACATCATTAGGCAGGGGGCTGCTCAGAACAGCAGCAGGCAGTGGTTATGAGCCTCGTGAGTTATAGGAACATGTGCGGAGAGCACAAGCCATGGGCTCCCCCACCACTTCTCGGGGGCTCTTAGCACTTGACTAAAGAAGTAAGCCTTCCTCTGGATAGTGCCCACTTCCCACGACAGGGCTCAGATCTTTCTAAATAGCCTCTGTGCATTTAGACTGCAGATCCAAGAAGATGGAAAAGACCCTGTCTTCAATTGTCCGCTTCTTTTCTGTATTTCTGGGGCTCAGTGCCTCAAGGTAAATATTGGGTACAAGCTGGATGCAGATGGCAGAATGATGATGGTGGTGGTGATGATGATAATGATGAAATAACTCTTCACCTGTCCTCACCGCAGAGTAGGTGAGGAAGAGATTCTCACGTGTACTTTATGGCTCTAAGAGACATCTCACAGGGGCCCAAGCCCAAGAGCCAATAGGACCGGAATCCAGGCCTGTAGCCCTAGTCTTGAATTTAAAGATCCCAAATGAATCAAAGGTGGCCTCCTGGGCGTAGAGTGCCCCACCCAGGAATCTAGGACAGTGAGTGGAGGAGTACAGTGGTGGATACCTGTAACAGGAAGCGAAGACGCGGGTTCAAGGTCAGCCTGACCTATATAGAGTGAGATCACATCTCAGAAGGAAGAAGAGGGAGGGGTGTGGAGGCATGGTGGCCTTTCTTCCCCAATGTGTCCTAATCGCTTCTTACTCCATCGAGATCAATGCTGGGATTGAGAGGTCAGGGTTTGACACAGACAGAATCTGCAGCTGTGGGTAGGGGCGGCGGCAAGGGAAAGTTTCTCCTTAGGTTTGTACCTTGCCTTTCTGTGACTGCCTCCCGTGTCACCAGAGGACCAGGACGCAGTCACTCTAAGCAAGCTCCCTGGGGTAGGCTGAAGGCCAGCACCACCCATGAGAGGGAGAGGAGCCCAGCACCTTCCTGGGTCAGAGAGAAAGGTCCTCCTTGGGAGGTAGGGAACCACCACAGGCCAGAGAAAGAGGGGCCCCAAGCTGTCTGCACAACACACAGTGCACAACAGCCCAAGTCCCTGGTTCCCTGCCTTCCTCCAACAGCAGCACCCTCTGGAAGGGAAGGAGGCCAGCCTCAGGGGCCTTAACTTGTGTGTGGGCCTCCTAGGGTATGGGAGGCTCTTTGCTGGAAGGTTCCTGAGAAACAGGACTGTCCCCCTCCTCCCTTCTATCTGCTTCCTGTCCCAGGTAGCATTCACTCCACCATGCTTATGACTGACTGTCTGACTGGGACAAAAGGGGGAAGAGAAGGAGAGCAGGCGAGTCTGTGGCCTCTTAACCCTGTGACACCAAAGCTCTGCTTTTCAGATGAAGTCCTACCAGCTCCTGGGATGCTCTTCCTGCCTCTCTCAGGCCCACACCAAAATTAGAGCAGTTCTCCAAACACCCAAAAGAAAAGGAAGGTTGTGGCTGATGACACTCTGGCCAAGACTCGGCTGAGAAGGCTTCTATCAGCAGCAGCACGGGAACATGGCAGGTTCTCCACATGGCAGGTTTTCAGGATGACACTGAATGAACCCCTCTAGGAGCTATTTGCAGAGAACCTGAGAGAATCCAATGTGTACCCTGCTCTACCAGCCCTAGCAAGAGAGGAGGGCACGATGGTACCTTCCAGTTCTCTCCTTTTCTGGCCCCCAAAGGACTTAAGTAGAGCTGGACACAGAAGTCCTGGGTTGACAGGAGCGGCAGGGAGGCCGACCAAGCTTGGGAACCATCTTGTTCAGAGGCATTTCTAGAGTAGGTACTGTTCCTTCTATGGGCCAGTGTGAAGCCACAGGGAACCCACATGCAACCTACTGCAGCCAAGGGCCACGTATCTAACCTGCCGAGCCCCTTGACTCCGAGGGAATGGGAAAGAGCCTGAGTCACTGCCTCTGATGGGCTCTGCTATTTTTGTCCAACTCTAGTTAAATATAACTGTTGAGCCCAGATTCTAGCAGTGGCTGACAGGACATTAAGTGTTTGGTACTTAATGCCTACGTGTCTCTCCTGTCCCATTTGCTATCTCCGATCATGGCTATGGAGGCAGGTAGGAATCGGCACCTCAGCTTCTCCAACTCTGGGGCCTTCTGTGGGATGAGCCACCAAGTGTCCCTGGACACCATGATGCCAGGTCATGCAGCCTGATCATCTGCCTTAGCAACTGGGTCTTCTGGACCAGCCAGTGCTCTGGCAAGTACAGGGAACTCTTGTTTAGGCTGGGTGGGGCCCGGGCGCGCTGGCCTCAACCCCCTGCTTCCTACACTGCCATTGAATACTCATCAGTCAGTGCTGGGAGCTCCCTCAGCCTGAGGAGAGCAGCGGGGTTGAGATGTTCCCTGATGTGCGGCCTCAGCAGCAACAGCGAAGGAGCCCATCCTAACCGGAAGCTCCTAAAACAGCGAGCCTCTCTCTCCTCCCAGCTGAAGCAGCACAAGCTGAGGGCAGCGTCAGAGGAACAGGCTGCTGTGTGCACACACTAGGCGCCGGCCTACTTACAAGTTTCTCAGTTTTTAAAGCAAGAAGCAGCTCGAGTACACTGAGCACAGTGTGCGTTGCTAGAGGTGAGGGCTCCCATTCCACAGCAGGGAGAGCACAGCACACTGTCCCCAAGTGTCCTGTGGCTCTCCTGGTGGATAGGAAGAGAGATACCATCCACCCGCCTATTCTGAAGCAGCCAGGCCATGGGGACCATCTCCAATCTGTGGGAACATTCTTCACAGGGTAGAGGTCAGCTCAGACCTGCTTTGACTGGGTGGCTCTAGGGATTGAACTCTGGTACACACACACACACACACACACACACACACACACACACGAGGCAGGTGCTCTACCACTGAGCCACCCTATCTCTGGCACTTTCCCAGCTCTTAGTTTGAGACAAGATGTCGGTAAGTTGCTCAGGCTAGCCTTGAACTTACTGTCCTCCTAACACTACTACCTAAGTCACTGGGATCACAGGCCTACTGTACCCCAGGACTCAGCCTCAGACCCAGGGTTTTTTTTCATTAATTAATTTATTTATCCACTTCACATCTCAGACTCACTTTTGACAGCTGGGCTCCATGGCATAGCGCTAGGTGGATTCAAGGCGGGCATTTCCTTGAGGGGATGGGGATTCCTGGTCTCCCTCTTGCTAATCAGGGGTAATTGTCATGATTCAGAGCCCTGACAGTCTTTCTCCTGAGACACCCAAAGCCCAGATGACTCAGTGCATCCAGCCCTGGTGGCGAGTGGCTCAACCACATCCACCTCCCTGGTCCATGGGCACACTGGGTTCCCTGGAATGAACAGTCCTCTGCTTTGCCAGCCCCTGCTGGCCACAGCACACAGCTCAGTGCCACTCTCTCCTCTCCCTTCCTCTGCACCCCCTCCAATCTTTGTGCTCACCTGGAAGAAAGCAGGTTGAACCCTGAAACTGCCACCCTACAGGAGCCTGGCAAATGGCAGGGCCCTGGGGGTTGCCAGGGAAACCACAGCACTCTGTGTCTGCCCACTCACTGGCTTCCTGGCCTATCTTTTCCACTCTTGCAGTGAGAAGCGCCACCTTCAAGTGAACGTCACCAACCCGGTGCAGTGCAGCCTGCATGGGAAGAAATGCACCGTATCTGTGGAGACCCGGGTCAATCAGCCACAGCCCGACTTCACCAAGAACCGCTCCGGCTTCATCCTCAGTGTGCCTGGGAACTGACTGCTGCACATCCGAGGCCTGGCCCAGGGGGGCAAGAGCCTGAGCCTGGCACAAGGCAGGCCAGGCCCTCGGCCTCCTCATCCCACACGCGTTCCACCTCGCTCAGCATCCTGGGAGCTCAGCTAATTGCTGTTTGCCCTCTAATGCCACTTGAAATCAGCTTGCAAGGCCTCCGCTGGGCAGGGCTCCTCTGCCTTCTCCATGGCCCTGCCCATGAGCTGTCCTACCTGGCTTTCTACCTCTGCCTCTGCTCTCTCAACTTTCCATACCCCTGCTCAGGAAACCAAAGACCCTCTTCAGCCTCCTGGGCTGACAGCTAGACCACTTCCCACCTCACAAGCAACTGGAGAGTACCTGTAGTTGACAAAAGGCCAGTGGCCACTGCTGACCCCAGCACAGGGATGAGAGGCATGGAGCCCAGGATGCAGTTTCTGGAGCCAAAGCAACATTATCCTAGAGGTTTGGATCCAGCTTCCATGAGCAGAGGACTTAGTTCTTCTCTATGACCCCTACCTGATGCCTCCTTCCCCAACATGGTTACAACCCTTGGGGCCTAGCTCAGAGCCCCTCAGCACAAGCCCTACCCCCAGCAGCCAGCCAAAGCCACCAGGTGAGCAGGTTCATCTGCGGAGCCCATCCTTCAGCCATGCTCAGCCAGGATCCCTCCTTCCCAGAGCCTGTCCCTGGGAGATCTTTTGCCACCAACGTTTTAGCCCTGGACTTTCTAACCACTTCTCTCAGAGACACCCTGCTGCTACTCCAAGGACTAGTTTGCTTAACTCACAGCCCATGCCCACTGTCATCGAACCTTCTTTCTTGCAGGTTGCCAGGTTGCTAATCTGATGTCCCCTCTGCTGTAAACACAGGGTCAGGACCTAGTGAGGAGGTGCAAGAAGAAGGCCATGCTTGGCGTGCCCGTTCCCCTAACCCTCTGGCTTCGCCTTCTCCTCACTGGAGACCTGGACCTCTCAGAGAGCCAAAGCACACAGGACCCGGTGGTGGGAGGTGAAGCAAAGCTGCAGCAAAGAGCGTGGAGTCCTGGCACTGCGGGCCAGGCCAGGGTGCCCACTGACGCCACATACCTGCCTGCTGGAGCCTGGCCTTAGCCCCTACCCCCACCCCCAGCCTCAGCTGTTGAGGATAAGGAGGCCTATGGGCGGCACAGGCTTGCTGTGGGGAAGCCTAACATGGAAGGCTTGTAAGAGGCGAGCTGGGGGAGAGAGCTGGGAGAGCGAGCTGGGGGGCTTTCAGAGCCAGGCTCACATTTTCTTTGCTTTTGGCCAGAGTCTGCTCCCTAACTCTCACACCGCTACCCTAACCCACCAAGTGCCTATGCGCTGCCTCCTGTGCCTTGCCTAGGGCCTGAGGGAGTTACCTGGCTGGCTATGGTGTTCCAGCACCTGGTCTCCTACCCCTTTTGTAGAGCTGTGGGGACAGGGGCATTTACACCGCAGGCAGTTTGCAACAAAACTCCTGTTGCCAGGCTGCCCTCGGGAACTGTTCTCATCCCGTGCAGCGCAGAGCTGCTGCCAGCCAGGGGCTGGTGGAGCTGACAGAACCACGTGACTGGAACTTCACCTTCCATCCACTTACTGCCCCAGCATGTTGCTTTACACTAGACATGCTCAAGTGTGTTCATACACACCAAAGCAGGTCATGCCAAAAAAGAGTTGAAGGTCAGAGGGGTGGGGCTCTCCTCCCACCGTCTGATGTAGTCTGGGACCCCTGGCCCAGGCCAGAACCTCCCACTGAGGACTGCCCTGTCCATAAGCACTTTCTTATAACCTAAAAAAGTCAGTGTGTGGGCACTGAAGGACCTGGAATTAGGGGTGTGAATGATCACAGAAAGAGCACCGGAGGACACAGTGATTGTATGCTTGGAGTAGGGGTCTCTTGAGTTAATGAAATACAGTTTATGGTTCGGTGCATATATTCCTATTTTTCATTAAATTAACTTTATTTCTAAAGCGTATTTTGATTTACCATCAAGAGCAATAAAGCATTAAATCTTATTTTAAAGATGTTCTGTTTATCATTGAAAAATAGTGAAATTTTAGCTTAGTCAACTACCATTCTAGAAGGTAGGAGAATTAAGCACAAATTATGTAAAATGGGGGTGATTTGCCCGAGGCTTTTGAACAGAAAAATTAGGGAGCAAGAAGCAAGCTGCACAGGCCTCCTCGGAATTCAGTCAAGGAACTCCGCTCCGCCATTCTGAAGCCTGCGCGCTAGAATCCTAAACACACAAAGGGTGGTGCAGATCCCTCCCTGCAGAAGCTGTTGGGCCCGCACGGCCTCTTCCAGGAGCAGGAGCCATGGATAAGGTGAAGGCCCCAGGGCACCCTTACACTCAGGGGCTCAGCACTAGATGGTCTTGTAGTCACTGGCAGACCCTGGGACCCACCAGGACAGGGCGAGGAGCCCTAAGCACGGGGATCCTGACAGTGGGTGCAGGGCCAGCCAGAGAACAGATTCCCGCTGCCCTTGTCCCAGCTGGCAGGCAGACCAGACAGAGAAGGTGGCAGCGCACTTGGAAGACCCAGAGCTAGATTCCCCTGAAGCTAAACTGTTGCAGCTCCAGGAAGCCTGTCCATCCCTGCTGGCCTTGGGGCAGTAGACACTGAGCAAGGCAGGCCCAGGAGAGAGTGGAAACGGCAGCCTTGGTGCCGAGGCAACACAGATGTCCATGAAGGACTTATGTGGCCAATACTGACCAGGCCATGCCTAAACCTGCCTGGCCCTCGGTGGCTTGAGCGGCCTGTCTTGTGACCCCACACAGGAAGGCCCCACGGAGAACCTGCCCAGCCACTAAGCCAGAGCTGACTTCCCCCATGCTGTTTTAATCACCTAAGCCTCTTCCAGTCCTTTCCCTAACTCCAGCCCCTTCTACCTGCAACCCGTACAAATCATGCATTAAAGGTGCCCCCACTGTGTTCCCAAATGGCAGAGCCACAAAGAGGGTGATGGATGGTCAGTGCATTTTATTGAATCAGCACAGTACAAAAATAAATAAAAATAAGGGAAGGGGAATTAAATTACAGCCAAACCGAGCTTCATGACTCTTGTCAGATTATAAACCATACATACTCACAAACACACCATACATACATACAAAATGAGACAAATATAAATTAATATTAACAGTATCCACAGTTTGGTCAAAGAATAGCTACAGAAGAAATTTCACTAAAAAATAAAAAACCACAACAACAACAACAAAAAAAAACTAAAAACCTCACGTGTGTAATTAGCAGTCTCGGATGTACAGCTACGGATGATTCTGGGCAGGGGTGGCATGTTTTCTTCTCATTGCAAGTTTAACACTGCTGGAACAAAACTAAATTCTAATAACTGCATGGAAAGAATACATCAACCCTTCACGGTTGTAAGGAAAAGAGAAAATCCAATTCTGAACTATGCTCCCGTGGCTCGTTCTCAGCACGCGTGGTTCTCACTGCCTGCTCTAAGGTTATTTTTCTTAAGACACAAAATGCTCCTGGTCCGCATGCACAGTACCACTGTAAAAGCAACAAGAATAAAGGGTTTTTTTTGTAGATTTTTTCACATTTTTCTTTTTTTTTTCTTTTCTATCTTGTGTGTGTTTGTTCTAAAAGTGTCTTCATAGCAGCATATCAGATGGGTCTTTGCTCGAACACTTCTGTCTTGTTCCTTTACACAGTACTAAAGACCAAGGGGAGAGGACACGGGCTTCACAATGGAACTAAGGAGCTTTCCTCAGTCGCCGACCACTCCTGAAATATGCACCTTCTCAACAACAACAACAACAAAAATTGTTTTTAAATTAAGTACAAAGAGAAGGAAACAGTCAACTAAGCTGGAATCCTGCTACTGCAGCTCAGTGGAACAGCTCCAGGCCAGCTTCAGAAGCTGGCAGGCTACAAACACGTGTCCCCCTCCTCCTCGGACTGAACACCTGAAGCTGTCCCATGGGGCTCCAGGCACGGTCACCGTGGCAGCAGGATCTGAGGATGGGCAGCATGAAGCCAGCCCAAAGAGGCTGCAGTGAGGCCCGCACTCAGCAAGCCTTGCAGGGCTTTCCAGCCCCACTCCATGCCAGACCGTCTGAGGGCCCAGGATCCACTCTCTAGGAACCCATGATGAGGGACTGGGGAAAAGGCTGTCTAGTCCAGTCAGGTCCTCTTCCCCACCTCTGTGGATACGTCGGGTGAAAGGCTCTGCTCCGGGCCTCTTCCTTTGAGACCTCAATTTCACAGCTTTCTCTTTATATGTGGTTTTTCAGTAGTGCTTGTGCAAGAAGTTGGCAGCCACCTAGAACCTAATCCTATGCAAGGTAACTTCTGCCTTCCCAACTGTGGCCCTCAGCCCCAGCACCCCCTGGGGGAGCAGGAGGAAGAGGAACTCCTCCTAATGTCTTCACATTGCTCTTTGTTCCCCAGAGCTGGAATGAGGGCCATGCAGGAAGACTCGCTTCCTTCTCTTGGACCGCTTCCAAACCCCAAGCCACCAGTCTGGGAAAATTAGAAAGAAAAAAATTAAAGTCCAGAGTATGTTATGTAGCTGACAGGGCTAGGTGGGCACCACACCCAGCAGCTGGAAGTGTTCAGCTGGACAGCCACCAAGCTTCCAAACTGATCAGGAGTCACACTCGAATCTTGTCATTGTCTCCAAATGCAGCTGTCTCAGTAGGTTGCACAGAGCAAAGCCTCCTCTCCAGGAGAAACTGAACTGCCTGGAAATAGCTTAAAATTAACGAGGGGCAGGGGTGGGAGACCGCAACACCCTATCACCCTACGGGCTGATCTCACCTTCCCCCAGCGATGGAGGACAAATCCTGTGCACCGGCATGTAAATGGGCACCAGCAAGAGGCCTTGGCATGTAAATGGGCACCAACTTGATCTCAGGCATAGACACCCACCTGCCCAGAAGGCAGCGTTGCTAGTGGGTCCCTAGTGGTGTCCTGGCTTTTTATACAGGGTGACTGAACTGTGTTGCTCAAATGAAAAAAAAAAAAAAAAGCCCACTCAGGAAAGCAGCTGTCCCTAGCATCACCTCATCCCTTAGCTGGGACCCAAAATGGGAGAGGAATCTACTGAGCAAACCACCTCATTAACCAACACTAATGTGGGAGCATAGACAAAAGGATGGGCAGGGGAGCTCCATCCTGCCAGGAAAGGAAAGCCCTTCTCCGTAAAAAGCAGCAGCAAACCAGGGCCGTGCATGATCAACAGTCATCAACAATCTTTGCACCAGACCCTCCCAGGCTCCTGCACTGATGCCCCAGGGCAGTGGAGATCTTGCCTCACAGCCTCCTGGGTCCTGAGTCAGGACAGCTGGCTCCAGGAGCCTCTGAAAGGCTGAAACAATACCCAGAAAAGGGCCGATCCTCCTGGGCCACCAGCCACGGCCCCAGCTCCGATCATGGGACAGTGGGAAGCCTCATCTACCCTGGATCCATCATGGGTACAGGTGACATGGGCAAGTCAGTCCCTTGAGTCCCAGAAAGTGAGTGGTCAGCAGCTGAAGTGTCTCTGAATGCATCTTTTGGGTTTGCACGAGATTCATCAGTTCAAAAGTCCCCAGAGTTCTTGAAAGGGCTAAAAATAAACCCCAAGGAAAGAACATGGGAAGAGACCCTTGGTGGCTTTGCTAGACACATACTGTACACAAAACTTGATCCTTTTAGTAATAAACTTTAAAAACAAATGGAATCCTTGAGCCGGCATACCGGCCACAGGAGCTCACCGATCGAGCCCCAGGAGGAGTCGCTTCTTGTCCTCCTGACCACTCTCGTTCTTCAAGTCAGAGAACACTTGTGTGAAATAGTGTGGGTCAGCATTGATCTGCAGCATCTTGGAGCTCATGAGGTTGATAACTGAGAGGCAACGGTCCCAAAAGGCTTCCTTGCAGCTCTCCACCAGGAAGGGCTTGAGCGGGTAGGAAATTTCATTGCCCATGTAGGAATAGGAGAGGTACAGACAGGTCAGCAGGACAGCCTGGAGCTCGTGGTCCGAGCCTACCTCAGAGGAGATAACATCCCTGCAGAGCATGTAGAGGAAGACCACATTGGCCGGTGTGATGAAACCCTGGTCCTGCCAGCCCTGCAGAAGCAGGGAGCGGTCCACGCTGCGCAGCCAGAGCACGGGGTCCGTTGGGGACAAGTGCTTCAGGCGGTAGCACCGGCGGCAGAGAAATTCACCCAGGCATCGCAGCAGCTCACTAGTGGACGCCTGGACGATGACCCGTTTGGGTGTCCCTGCAGAGGTGATGGCAGGGTGCGGGGCCTTCTTGACAGAAGAGGAGACCCCAGTTTGGGAGCCCGAAAGCTGGCTGGCTGGGGGCGCGGGCGGCTGGGCCGGCGGGGGCTGGGCGAATGTGGACAGGTTGGCACACGACAGCGACTTCTTCAGGTTCTCATTGTTGAGGTGCGCTATGTTGCTCTGGTAGCTGCTGTTGGGCTGCGCCTTCTTGGAGTTCTTCTTCTTCGCTGACACCGCCACGATCCTCTTCCAAGGCAGCACCGAGATGATGGAATGCCGCTTCAGGTTCTTGTCCTTGGCGTTCTTGCTGTTCTGCACGGCCGTGTAGTGGCCCACGGTGGCCGCGCCATCCTCAAACAGCGTGGCCTTCCGATAGCTGGGGGACAGGGACAGCACCGTGCCCATGGTGCCACTGAGCGTCCGGCAGGGGCCGGCACCCCTGCGTGCCCAGCCTGCCGGCTGGAGGGAAAAAAGGCTTACCGAGCCTGTAGCGGCCGCAGAGAGAAAGGAGGCGCTCCCGGGACACGACGCGTGTAGTCCTGCGGATCTGCGTGGAAAACAAGATGGTTCTCAGCCCCGGGCGGGGCTCTGCGCCGCGCCCCTCCGCCCGCACTTCCGAGGCCCGAACCCCCGGGCTGCGGCCCCGTCGAGCCCCAGCCTGTGCTTCCACTGCGGCAGCGCTCAAGCGCCGCAGCGGCCACCGCAGTAGGAGTCCAACCAGGCCGCTCACACGGCCCCGGTCCGCGCAGGCTTACCCGCAGGCAGGCTCCCGCGGCAGG